GCCACCGCCCCCCCGCGGCGGCGCGAGGAGGGCGCGGAGGCCGCGCGGGCCGGGCCCTGAGGGCTGGTTCGGGCGCGCGGCCGAGCCGAGCCGAGCCGAGCACAACGTGCGGGTCTTGCCTTCCCCCAGCCACTGCTGGCTCCAGCCTAGCAGCGCCAGGACAAATCAAATCCAAGTGCTTTGGTACCGAGACAGCACAGGCGTATCGGAGCCGAGCACGCTCTGTCCGCCCGGCGAGGCTTTCGAGGCGGCCGCGGTTTCCCCGCCAGCCTTATCCCGGCGTCCTCGCCCCGCCTGCAGCGCGGCCTGGCACGGCTGTCCCTAGGGAACGGGTGCTAGGCCCGGTGTGCTGCTGTGGCTCCCGTCGGCGAGATCTCGACCCCGACGTGTCGCAGAGACGAGGAGCTCGGCAGTGAGCGCTCCGGGCGAGCGCCTGCAGGCATCGCTCAGGCAGAGCGGCTCGCTGAGGAGATTTACAAGGAGCTGGCGCCTGCGAAAAATAACGATTAGAAGCCACACTACGCACCAAGCATTCACTCAGGGACCCGGTCGATTTTCTGTGACAGGAAGTATTCTGATCTACGTCCTGTAGGTAAAATGTTTCCCTGAGCCAGTAAAGGGAAAACAAACACATAACTTATCACACCTGACATTTCCCACTGAGTTACATAAGTGCTGGTGATGCCATACTATCAGCAGTATGCGAAGATGCAGATTCTCAGCCAGACATGTCGTATTGTTACTTAAACTAAAAGACATAAACTAGGTTTGCAAGTAGATGAGAGGTAAGAAATAATTTCTGTAAAAAGTTTTCTTAAAAACCAAAACAGTTTCTGTGGGAACACAGACAACTTTCACTTCACAGCCTTCCGCAGGACAGGACCAAAAGCTTCAGAAGCTTACCACTTAAGCATAAAAATACATACTGTGTGATGCATTTTTATATTTCAAAAACTCTTAATTACAGTAAGCAGCTAGTTGCTCTGAGCCACCTGATCTAGTTGAAGATGTCCCTGCTCATGACAGACGGGTTAGACTAGGTGACCTTGAAAGGTCCCTTCCCATCCAAGCTGTTCTATTGATTCTGTGACATTCCTCTGCATTAGGGAATGAGTTATCAAGTTTCTCACCAAGATCTGTAATTTTGTAATATTTTTCTATAAGCCAAAGTTATTTTACTTTACACAAGGGGAAAAAGCTCAAACAAGCCGCTTGCGCAAATTTCAACTGAAATTACGAAGTCTGTTGTACCTAAAAGCTGTTTCTATCAAACCGTTATCTAACTCAGCCAGCTTCTTGTCTGTTTTCAACAGACTCGTATGTGTTCCTTTGTTACCAGTGTTCTTCTTAGTTTGTGTTCTTGTCCTATTTTGTGGGGGAGGTTTTAATACATCAAGCAGATTTAAGATACTCTTTAGTTCCTTGAAGAACAATCCATTCTTAGCCCTGCTGGGAGAAGCTACTTATGTTTCTACAAGTAATAATGGTTTACAGACCAAGATAAGGCTTGCAGGAACAAATTACTTGTATCAGCCCACAGAAATCATTGGTAAAGCAAGCGGCTGATTTTTCATACCTTGGTAGTTACGGGGGAAAACAGCTAGAAGAAAGGAAGAATACCTGTTCTTTTATGTAGTATTTAATCTATTTAAAGATGGTGCTTATTTATATAGCTTGCCTCTCCTATAAAAAGAACCTCAGATTTTTTTTTATTATCCACCTAGTTTCACAGTAATTTTTCTCTAGTCATCCAAGTCATACACAACTCTCAACAGGAAATGTTCATTTTGTCTTTCTAAGTTAATGACAAATCAATGAATTCATGTGGATTAAATATTTTCTCTAGTACTAGCAATTTCACATACCAAATTTTTATAAATTTAACAACAGTTACTTCAAATGTGAAGTTAGTGAATTTTACAAGATGCTATTACCAAGCAGTCACACAACTTCTAAAGGGATCATATTAGGGATTAGCAAATTCAACAATGGTTTCTTAATGTTTTTTCATCTTGGTTCCTGTCCCTTAGAACAACAGGAACAATTAATGTTCATATCACAATATGTGTCGGTATTTTTATGCTGGCGTAAAATACCTGTGAAGGAGTTCCAGATGCAGAAGCACTGCAGAGTCATGCCCCACACATTCAGTCTGGAAAGAGCTGATATATTTTTTACTTTAAGCAAATATTAAATGTTTCAGCAATGGCTTCTATGAAGAAGAGGGGGAGTGTGCTACTGATTGCTCTTGTATCACTGTCTAGTGGAAGGGTTTGGGAAAATACTGTTGAGTTGTATGAATTAAATTGCCCACGACAGAGGGATTGTATACAAAAGATGTCTCAGTCTCTGAATTGTTTGGTATAGACATTCTGGTTTTGGACAGAATTGTAGGAACAAATACAGTTGCAGTTAAGTTGTGAATCCTTTGGGATCTTCCTGTGAACAAATGATTCAAATGCTATAGTCACTAGGTATCTGGGGGAAAATTGTCATGTGTGTTCTTTATGAAGGTTAATTGGGTGCTTAAATGTTTTTCCCCAAATGACTAACAACAAGTAAAGTATCTGCTTTGCACAGAGACACATTCTAAATATCCTGTACACTGTCCATAAAGGACCAGACATTTGACAGAGATGTTCAAAATGTTTTACTCATAGGACGTGCAGATTGGTGTTGCTTTTCTGAGAGCTGCAGAATAATTATCTTGTTGAGATTAAGCAAGTCTAATCTTAAGCAAGTCTAATTTTAAAGCCTAGAAAAGTGGTAATCATGAAACGCAGGCTGCAAGCAAAGGAAGCCTTAGACTCTGCATACTTAAAAAAAAACAACAAACCCCTTTAAATTTCTCTATACTGTGCATAATTAAGGAATTATTCATCTTATTCATCAGGATTATAAGATTACATCAAAGTAAAATTTAAAAAAAAAAACACCATCACCTTCCCCCACCAAGCCAAGACAAAAAAAAATCCACCACACCAAATCCTTAAAAGAAAAATTCTATACAGGTACAAAGAATAATTCTAGGAATTTAAATGCCAAGTTCAGGTTTTGTCAATTTAGCAGGTTTACTACACTTACTCCTAGAAGACATTACCAATAGCTTTAGTAGCTTCCTAAGTGACATCTCTGAAAATTTTTAAATACACCACTGCATTGAAACATGAAATCTTGAATTGATGATCACTGGCATTTGAGATTATCTCCATGTTAGTTGGGAAATTAGGGAAGCAAAACAGTTTCTGTAGTTACCCTAAAATAATTGCCCATACTGAAAAACCTGAACTGGTTTTATAAAGCAGTGCCTGCTGAGTATGTTCCTTTGGCTTTCCTGCTCTAATTTCAAGTTTCCCTTTTCCTTTTAGAGCTGGTAAAGACAGATGCCATGTTTGTCATATCTCAAGAGGCTTCTTAAGACTGTCCCATGAAGGCAGAGAAATGCAAGAACGATTAAGTCCAGTATAGATCAATAGCAGGATGACAGCAGTGATAGTCTTCAGAATAAAATCTTTTATTCATCAATAAAACTATAGTTTACAGTAGTATTTTCTAAATAAATTATAGAATTTCTCTTTTACAAGAAATAAAGTAAAATCAAAAATATTTCAAGAACAATATATGTACACAACATAAGGCCTTGTTATAAATAACATTTTTATCTCCTTTTTACCAACAGTAAAAGTATCTTTAGAAGCTCATTTTCATATGGTATGTGCAGAGATTTGCCCTAACCCTCATACAACATCAGTTCCAGTTTCCACTGATGTGGAACTAAGCAATTAGAAAAATGTGTCAGAAAAATGAAACTGATTTTATTCACCACTGTGTTTATTTTTAAATAGGTAAAGTAGGTAATAGATTTTGCTTGTGCATAGTTACAGAATGCATGCAAATGAAACCACTAGAGAGCTGATAAGAAAATATTTCTTCAGAGTCCAAAAAATGTGATTGGCAATATTGTAGAAAGCAGCCTGAATACACAGTTCTTCACAGTTGAGCAAGCAACAGCAGATGACAGCAGAGTGTGGAATGTTTCATGTCATTTTTGTCAAGTCCATCAATTCTTTCTATGGTTCAAAGATCCTGACACTTCTTAGAATTAGTTC